CCTTTCCGATCGCTCGATCGCCTGCCTCGATGCTTCTCTCGAATGTTTCTCGGATATCTCTTGGAAAAGTTATTGTTCCTTGCGAATAATTGTAACCTTCCAAATCATTCTCAGAGCAATCGAACCTTCTTCCTATTTGTACACATACACGCTCAAAAATTTATAGCGCGTTGATTCGAATTTCTGTTTAATCGTTCATGTTTCGATCTTCTTGAAACTTTAATCAATTGCTTTTAAAAGTTTCAAAGTTACAGTTATAATATTCTTATGTCTCGAAGAATTCGCATCATTTGTCTTTACGGTATTGAAACTTTCATTAATTATATTTAAAAATCACTGTCGATAGTATATAATTTATACATAAAGCAACTTCACTACATAGAGAAGTAATTCTCGTCGAGACAAGAAGTCCGAAAAACCCGCGGGAGCATTCATCTTCACCCCCTCCGTGGCTCAACAAGTAAACAGTTGCGCGTTAATTGTAATCGTACATTGCTGTATTTCTTGTTTTTTCACAATGCATCCCCCATCCTCGATACGAATTACGACAGAACGGGAAGAAAAGAAGGGTGAAAGTTAGAGCAAGAGGGTGGAGAGAGTGGGCGAGAAGGGAGAGTCGGAGTCGAGGAAGAGTGTGAACGAAGTGAGAAGCTCTGTCCTCGAGACACGTATCGCGTTCAAATACACGCGTCCCCGAGTATTCACGTCCATGTCTCTCGTTATTGTGTCGCGCGAACCCTCAACAACTACAGTCTGATGGGGTTTCAGGCGCCCCACGATCCGTTCGACGCTTGTATATCCCACTTCCTCGTCAAGGATCATTTCTTCGGTCTTCTTTTCAACGTCCGCAGCCTTCTTCTGGCGATCGATGCGCGACAGGTTTCCGTCACGTGTTCGAACGTTAATGTCTTTCTTGTCGGCGTATGGATCTATGTACACCGCTATGTACGTCGCGTCGTGGATTTTACACTTGTTTCTTTAACGTACTATGTACGTACAGTGTCGCGGATCGAAGGACTTCTTTTCTGATTAAAGCTTTCGATCGGTCCGTGAAAGATATATATATTTTTAGTAAAATATAATATAACATTATACATATAAAATATAATATAATATAATATATTTTAGTAAAATATAATATAATATAAATATTTAAATATAAATATACTTTAAATATAACATTATACATATAAAATATAATATAATATAATATATTTTAGTAAAATATAATATAATATAAAATATAATATAAAAATATAATAGATATATATATATATATTTTTTTTTAGTAAAATATAACTGAAAAGGAGACAGGCAAAATTTCGTCTGTATTAATAATTATACCTCACCTGCATCTAAAACGATATACTCTAATAATAATATATACTCTAATAATATACTCTGATACACTCTACTTTTAATACATTATCTACTTTCGCATTATGGCGCGTGTTCTATGTACTTTAGCACCTGTAATTTTCTTCCCGTAATCTTCGAGTATACAAACCCTTTAATAACAAGAGAGATTCATTTCTGCTTCTATTAGCTTGTTAAACAATTATACCCAACGAGTCAAGAATCCGGAGTAACAATCCTACCATCCATTTTTACATAAGAATCCGCAGTCTAATGATAAGTATGCAAATACTTTCACGAGCCGTTGCTCTCCCAACGACGATAGTTCTTGCATTTTAATTCCTCCGGATCTAGGACACCGAGCGAAAGTTTTTTGATGAAAGGAAAGGCAAAATACAACAGATTTGTAACGGAATTCGGTTGGGAAGTAGGAACATCGATTGAGCTCGTCCGGGGAATTTCAGGATCGCCTCCCTCCCCCTCCCCCCCCACACGCGCGCGCGAGGAAGATTTAATCCAGTGTTCAATTTTCCCCGTCGGAGAGGCGAGGACCGACGACCGAATCAATAGCCTTATCGCGCAGGGAGGCATTGTCAGCGTGAAGAAGGCTTCGTGAGGCCGGATGTTGGAGCGTCGTCAAAATTTCAAAGTTTATCGGGCCATGAACGTCAGCCATTCGAGGAGAGCGGGGAGAGTGGAGCGCGCGAAGACACGCTTCCCGCTTTGTCATCGGCGTCTAATTAATCTTGCTTCTCTGCCGCCAGCGTGAACCGGGGCCACGCCGCGCGGGTTTCGCCTCTTCGTTCCGTTCCACGTCGAGTTTCAAGCTGCTTGTAAACTGCTTCAAGACGTCGCGTAATGCTCGCGTGACGACGAGCCGTGCCAACGGCGCGCGTTTCTTCTTGCGAAGGGTTTCCCTTCGTCTATCTGTCGCGCGGCATTCTCATTTTCACTCGATCATTCGCGAGGAAAGCGAAAGCAATGCGTCGCCAGCGTTTCCGACGAGTCGGGGAATTGAAAATCGTGATGCGAGTGTCGAGAGGGGGAAGAGACATTTTCTTATTTCGCAATTAGTTTTCTTTCGCGATCGACACAGAAGCGAATAGAATGAATAATTTTGATAATAATTAAACGTGCGTTGATCAACTACTCTAATACATCCTCTTTCGATTCATAAATGTTCAGAATAGTGCGAACTCTTTGTCTACGCACTTGACATTAAACTATTACTATACAATGTATAAGAACGAAGAAATATTTAGTTTTCGCGCCGAACATAAGCATGCAAATACTTTCCTGGCTACATAATTTTCGTTTTTCTCGTATTATTTTCCATGTACAATAAAGTTGTAGAAAATATACACTACATCAATGTTTTACAAATTAGGTGTGTAAATACTTTTCGACCCACTGTAAAGATGATGAATATCGAAATCGAACCAGATCATCATCATATATCATCATATATTTTAAGAATATAACGACACGACGTTTTATTTTTTAATGGATCGTCCTTGCATTTTAGAATCGATAACCGTGCGGTCGAAGAGGCATTACAGGGTTTCCTTCGTCATTAAGGAACCCTAGCTCGTCGCGAGTTTGATACTCGACCATCAATCCATCCAAGTAGATCGTTTTCGCTAATATCGAGTTTCCCCAGTACAGCACGAGGAGTAGATCAACCAAGCAGCCGTCTTATTGTACTTACTAGCTGTCTTTGAATCTGTCCAATGTCTTTACCGCGTTAATTGATATCACAGATAATATTAATGGAAGAAGTGTCACTTTAGAACTTCATTTTAAACTTCGTATGGAATAATCAAATTTCATTGTGTGTCGTGAAACATTGTTATTTGAAACGTTGTTCCTTTTGCAGAAAAGTACAGGACATTTGTAGACACGATTAAGAAACTACAACTCAAGTAGAGATTCGTTTTACTTACTAACTGATAGCAATTGCGCGTTTGAAGAATATAATCTAAACGAAATGGAACTTCGTTGAAAAATCGTTGTACAATGTTCCCACGTTCGAATAACTTATCCGCGATCCAGCAATCTTATATTTAATTCAAATATCTTTCTCAGTAACTTCAGCTTGAATTCTTCGGAAACTTTCTCCCTCGAATTTCTCACTGTGCTACTAACACGTAACACGTAACAGTTTCACAATTTCCAAACTCTCTGGCATCTGAACCAATCAGTGGAAAAACATCGGCAATTAAGAGGAAATAAATAAATCGGTGATTTAAGATTCGGCGCGAAGTACGTGTAACTAACTTCAGTTTCATGTTTTATTCATCGGACATGTTTAAATAACGACACGGCCGGGTTCAATTTATTCCGCGCATGTTCGTAAAACGGACTGTTATTGTTGCGCGGCGTCGAAGCCGATCGATTCGAAGGTATTCGTGGCTGTCTGACAAATTTCTCGCATATCTGACCGACACGCCGGTTAATTCGCAATCTAAACTGCACGCCGGCAATCATCTCCGCGCGAGATTCACGTGGGAGCAGAGTGTATCTAGTGAGAGTAGACGATTGAAACCGGTTTCTCCTGCTTTCAGACCGAGTAATTTCGTTAGTTCGCGCGGCATCCTCTTCCATCCACGTTCCACCGACGAGGGAGAAAGCTATTTCACCATCACAATCACTCACGTTCCGCCGCGTCGTTCTCGAATTTTGTCTAGCTTCAATGAATTTCTAAAACGTTCGGTTTTTCCATCGATTTCTATCCGCGATAGAAAATTTTCGATCGTGCCTGTCCAACAACGAAATACTATTGCTCTTGATTAAAGGAGTAGCTCGCTTTTCTCTAAAGACGATTAATATTTACCAATTTATTAAACGAAAGGTTCTAGTTTTACACTTTTAAGTCTTTGTTTCAGTCGTTTCTAGGACAAAATGAACTATTAGCTTCGAATGTTACGAATCCCCTAATTTCGAAATTTCGTTTCCGAGAAACATTGATCTTGCTGAAAAGAATCTGGAGTAAAAAATTGTTTTAAAAATAGGAAACAGTATACCTTGATTTCTCAATTGTTCAGAAATATTTACAGTTGGAGGTAATAATATTTCACTCTACTGTTTTACCGTAATGTTAAAATAGAGGGCAGACACGCAGTGCGTTTATTTTAATTATTAATCTTCGACTCGTAAACCATTGATTTGTGCAATTATAATCAACCAATACTATCTTTCCCACAAATAAACAAAACAGAGACGGTCGAGAAAAACGAAAATGTGTCAAAGAAATACAGAAAAACGAATATTTCACTAAAACAATCGCTGAGATCAGTTACCAAACACTAGGATCGTGAGAGAAGTTACTTAAAACACCTGGACCGAATCTTTGCAGCCTGACAAAGACAGGATTATCCCTGCTGGCAACGTGCGCTTTTCCAAGAAAAAAAAAAAAAAAAAGAAAGTTGCTCCCGTTTGGGGCATTTGGTCGCGGCGAACCACGAGCTGCCGTAACGAGCGTTAATTCGCACCGAACAATGAGAGGGCAATACGGGAGTAACGAGTATTTATCGGAACAAAGGGGGACACTTTTAAATGGATCCCTAATGGATCGTGGTTCCATCGTGTTCGTGGAACTTTCTGGCCATGGCTCGAGACCAACGAAAATCAGAGCTCGAGTTTCTCATTCTCGGAGGTGAACTGTTACGGAGCCATTGTGCGGCGGTCGTGCCGGCATTAAAACCGCCTAATCGAATGCAGCAACCTTGGGAAGGCTTGGAAAGAAGGTCCGCCACGGACCTCGAGGTATTCCATCGGAATGGGGTCGCGCGCGCGCGCACACATACGCCATCGTTCGTAGATATCCGGTGCACTTTGCTTGATTTTTCTCCGAGAAATACTCTGTAATTTCTGTCCACGTGTACCTCCATTCTCAGACCGAGCCGTTACAATTAATCGATAATCGAGTCTCGGTACTTGAATATCAATAAAATTTAAAATCTTGTAATAAGACACGTGATGTAACAATAAAAGATTCTTAAAAGTGTTCGAATGCTTTCGCGAGCGTATAATTAACATAAGTATTGTCAGAATTGAGCAAAAGATATCTTCGGACGATAATGTACACATACAACCGCAAAGTTTCGTTCTCCTTCTCCGAGGTTTCTTTCCGCTGGTACTTTCTACCAGAGTATCGCTCCTGAAACATTTCTTGAGGAAAGGAGAACGTTTCATTAAAATTGTATGGATCCGGGCATTTTTGTTGTTCATACAGCCGCAGTACGTAAGAGGATGGATGCATGGAAATGGCTCATAGAAATACTCGAGCACTTTCTGTGAAAGAATTTTTACATATATTAACACGTGTGTGTTCTATGAAATATTTAAAAATTTCATCATCACTGCGTAACGAGACACGGTTACACAAGTAAAACCTAAAATGTAAAAGATATAATTATATTATAGTACGATGTTATAGTAAATGTTGGAGATAATTGGTCGTATAAGGATATTTTGGCCATATCTACGAAGTATATTTCTCCAACAAATATATCTTCCGTACATTTTGAGATTTGTTCCAAACTTAGCCATTAATAAAATTCCAAAATGTTTCATACAATGTAAAAAGTTATTACAAATTATATGCGTAAAGATAGGAGTCGAATTTCAGGAGCATGTGTCGAATTAGTTTTGTACAAAAACTACGGACAGATGCTCTTAGATTTTAGTAACGTGCTTTTACAGTTGCTACAATATCTATGAGTCGAAATATTTGAAATAATATTTATCCTGTAGATGTTCAACTATTTCCGTGAGCAATAGTTTGTCAACGAAATTTCGAAATATTTTGTATAATACGTTCGTATTACGCAATACGTTCGCGAAAGGTTTCCACAAGTTCAAATACTTCGGTGAAATGTTCAAATACGCGGGATGAAGTGACACGAAGGTCGTTCGAATTTCACTTCCCCGAAAAAGAACCCGTGTTCGACCCGCTGAATTTTACTCGTAATTCGAGCTATCGCGGTCGCTATCGAATGTCCAATTTCCGCGGCGCGAAACGGTGAATATTGAGTGATGGGTGAAATACGTAGAGAAAACATAGAGTTAAAAAAAGGGGGGGAGGGAAGGAAATCATGCGGATCGGGCGACCGTGGCTGCGATTTAAGGAGAGGAAAAATTATCAGAGCGGGAAAAGAGCGAATGGCTGGTAGAAATAATAAAGAGGTTGGTTACGGTAATTGAGATGAAATTGAGCTTGGAAACGTGGTACACTGGGACGTTGAGACTTCCGGACGACAACGTTCGTTCGACGACGTTCCACCGATGGTATTCAAGACCTGGGAAATTCTCGATCTGTGTTTCCTTCTTTCGCGTCTGTCGACCATGTTGAAAATTACTTCAATCACCGAGAGAATTTCACAATAATTTTGTAAAAAGAAAGAGGGGAAAGAAAAGGAACGTGTAATTATCCTCAATGATGGGATATTTTCATCAACGTTATTGTGTCTTTGTTAAAACACAGTCGTTGTATACGTTTCACGTTACGGAGAACCGCGACACACGAACGAAATTTTTATCACCGATTGTACTTTCTATCGTTTACAGCTAGACTGTGGCTGCTCATGCATTTATGGAAGATGTATACGAGATGAAACGTTCACGATGCATACACTATCGTATCGAAAACGTAGGTACGAGATATTCATGGTAATTTGAAAGATAAAACAAATCTCTATTTAGGTTCCATCTCTTCGGTTGCGTTTATAAAAATATGAACTTGCATAAACTGGAGCAAATTTTAACTTTTCCTGAAATTTTTCATTTGTTACGTTTGCGGGTTGAAAACAAGAGGGATGTACGGAGAACATGATCAAAAGTGAACAAAATAAAAATTGAGTTACAAAAGGATCAACAAATTGAGTTAAATCTGAGGAATGAAAGATAAAGAATTGATACTAAATTGTTCTAGTTGTGCAACGAATAACCAAATCGGACTAGTCGTTCAAGCACGCTAATAACAAAGATAATGCAGATAACGGGGAAAGATTGGTTAAGTGAACTCGATTCCGTACGAAGATTATGTTCGTATAAAAACGAGAGATAAATATTCTAACAACTATGCACATTCCAAACACTGTAATGTCTTTGTTACAGCACGCGAATCGAAAGAAACACGCGTTACACGATTCATTGAATAGCTAAATAGTTGGTCTAAGTAGTTGAACTAGTCGGAGAGTTTGTTGGAAAATGTCTGTCGCGAATGGCAGAGGGAGACAAAAAGATCCTGGTGGGACATCGTAGGGATCGGATAGGATAGGAAGCGATCGAAGCGCGGCCAGCAGGATAAACATTGATTGTATCCCGCTTGTAAATAAAAGTCGATGTAATTGGATTCATACCCCTCACTCGCTCGAAAATGTCCATCAGGTCGGCCCTCGGATTCTACGATACTGCTCGTTCTAATTCCGTCGAATAAACCGTCTCCTTTGCGAGTGCTACGCTGCGAGAAGGTGCTGTGACTCTTATTAATGCTACAACGATCGATGAAGCTGCTTGCCGCGTGATTTCCAATGCAAATCGTGTGATTTTTAGCGATTGATCGCTGTTAAAAAATTGTTATAAGCTTAAACGTAGCCACGTGTTTGTTCGTTTATTTACGTCTTCTCACTTTGTTCTCGTTTATTTTTGCTCCTCTTTCTACGAAGGATTCGATGTTAAATGGTTTTCTATTAAAAATTTCAAAATCTTCAGTCAATAGGACAGTTTAGTTACAATATTGTAGACGATGATTAATAGAAATTTTCAGACAGTAAAACAACCATTCCTGCTCATATATTAAATTACATGCATGGAAATGAAGATTGAGAAAACTGTCAGTTTATTTAATCCAGCATTCAATATTTCGTAATTTAAATTCAATTTATACATTCATGAATAACTTCAATAATGAATCAATCGGTTTTTAATGTGCTAATATTACGAAACGAATACATGGAACAATAATTTCCCGAACGCCACGGTGTCCGAACATTAACAAGAATCCCCCCTGCATTTTAATCTCATTTGCACGTCATTTCATTCATTCGGACATCTTTTATCCAGCTTTTACAGAGGGCGATAAGAAACAAGAGCGAGAAAAATATCGTTGTTATGTAAACGGGATAAATGGGAGTTTCTCGTTGTTGGCAGAAGAAATTACAGCAGGACTGAGTAACTCTCTTCACTGAAGAAATTCTCTTCTTTCTCTCTCTGTCTCTTGGGTCACGGTCTCTTGGGAGAAAAGTTTAATTCGCTAATTGGCTGGCCCAGTTAGAGACGAGTCGATATTAATTGACACGTACGCGAAAGTCGTTGTTTCGCGGATGCGTCGTCGCCCCGCAGCCTCGAGCGGAATTCAGGAATAAGAAGCAGAAGGAGCGGGCTGTTGACCGTGGTATGCGCGGAACGGGCACCGGCTGTCCGTAGTTTACCGTTATATTTCCGTGAGAGAGAGAGAGAGAGACTTCGCTTCACGGAAGTTGTACGACTATGCCCGTTCCACCGATTTCTTTCCGGGCGTTTGATCTTTCTGATTCTCGAAACGTCCTCACGTGACAATCGTCGATTTTGCTGGCGAGGTCACGCCAGTTAACCAAAGCGAACTTTCTCGAATGAAATTCTAAATTATTCGTTTCCGAAGACATTTATTTTCTCTTGCAATGTAGTTAGTAGTCTTTACACCTGAAAGTCTCTGGTGAAACATTAAACGTTAAACGTGTAAACACTTCTCCAAGAAATCGAACTGAAATAGAAAATTCTGGATACTTTGCTCGCTGAAAATAGTTGTAAAATGGAAAATGGAACCTTTATATTTAGTTATTAGAAAAATGGAACTTGGGTGAAAGATTGTTGCATCAACGGAATGTTGTATTTCATATGTTACATGTACGTTCTGTGCAATTTTCCATGAATCTATTTACAAAAACTCGTAATCTACAAAATGCGCATTTGCCATTAGACAATGGGATAAAACAATCCCATTTTCAATCAAAAAATTGTCTCCCTCAATTAGTACGATTTTAACTGCCGTTCTGTCTTATTAATTTTACTCTCGCGTTTAGAGTAAATTGTCGACAAGCCGACAATTTTTTATACGTGTCGCTCTTCCAACGCGAACCGGCAACGTAAATTCTCGCGACGCACGCATAAATCTTTTAATTCAAATTCGTCAGAAACGTCGAACAATTACGTTTCATTTCAAGCTCGCGTTCCACATTTGTCATTTGCGAAGATTTATTACGCGAAAACTCGTTTCACTGGTTTTCTCCTACCCTCCCACTATGTACACGTTTTCGTGAACCACGATCGTCGCTGGCGTAAATGGTTGAACCGTTTGATACCTGTTTTTTTTTTTTATCGGATTTCTTTCAACGATTCTCACTCCCATTTTACACCGTGTCTCTTCCGCTGTTTTTTTTTTTTTCTTTTTTTGTTTTCAGTGTCTTCGCGGTTGCGACCGCCATTCATGAATATTCCAGCGACAATTACCGCGTAGGGCAACGCCGCGGTTCTCCGTCATTGTCGTTTACCGTTTGTAGCAATGTCGTTGCATCATTCGCGTCGTGAATCCCTCCATCAGCGTGTCTCGTAGGTAGAAATGGGATCGAGTACCTCACAGGCAGATTCGAACCTTTAATTATTAGACTTGAATTCTTCGCAAGTATCTCCAATGGTACTTTCGATTATACTTGAGAATCTCTCATTGCGATTTACTCTGATTACAATGAAATACTGCAAGTTTTTGTTCTTCTGTTTGTCGTTTG